ATGGATGCAACGAAGATATCTTTTGTAATTCCGCCTATCAGTTTCTGAATGTTGAACTTGAACTACAGTGGCCTGTCTTTACCTGTTTTCATGGATTTTAGCATCACCTTGAAGGTTCCTTGAACCAGATGACGGTCTGAGCCCACATCTGCTCCCCTTCTCTACTTTGTGTCCAGGAGGCTGCGTCTCCACTTCCTTGAGCAGCATTGAGATGAAGTCTACTGGTTTGTGGTAGGTCTGTTAGGCGAAATCCATGCTGCTTTGTAAATATCCTTGTGTTTGTACACCCTACTTCCGATGACAAAATCATTCAAAGCGCAGAAGTCCGCGAATAATTCTCCGAGAGCCTCTCGACCCATGATGAGTTCTCTTCCTGTGTTATGTGTTCCCATTTTGGCTTGAATTTATATCGCCCATGACGATTTTGATTTTTCCATTTGGGATGTTTTCCATTACTTTTTGAAGTTGTCTGTAGAAAATCCCCCTTCTTCTCTTGTTCCGCGTTGTTTGTAGCACTTTGCATAGCATTGGATAATTGTGGCCTTCCTTCATTTTGAGTTGAATCTCGCTGTCATAATTCTGGACGAAATTGGTTCCCACTGCATTAGGGCTATGGATGCCACTGGTGACACCATCATAGCCACTCACTAACTCAGTGTGCTCATGGTTGTCACTTAAGTGGGTGACCAGACCGGAGTAGACTACTGAATCTCCAGTTGACGGTTTCCACAGTCCATATCCATTCTACACGCTCTTGCGAATTCCGAGCATCTCTATACCATATCTTCTCACTGCTTCGACTACCTGGGCAGTCTTCCCAGCTTCTTACATTGTACGAACATTCCACGTCCGTCCCCATACTTATTCTTGCTTCCATTGAGAGAAGATACATAGGTTGGCTGACTGACTTCCCGAAAGCTGGCTTTCACCAGCCAACTGTGTCATTTCGTCTCTCTGATTCCAGCGAAGACTAAGTTTGTTATTCATGTTTTTGTACTTTTAATATATTTCTTGTGCGATGAAGTTTCTGTAGCAGTTTGATTGGTTTTGTGGGGTAGGGTCACTAGCCCCAACCCTCCCTCTTTAACCGGGCTTGGGACCGGCTAGAGTACTAGACAGCAAGTAAACTGTGTGAGGTTTATCATCCACATAATAGAAATAAAATGAGAATTTTCTGGGAAGCTTGTTTAAAGGACCATTCTCTAGTTTGCTTAGGAAGAAATCCACCAAAATGGAACCAAATAGGGAACCCATCGTCATCCTGTCCACTATTCTGTAAAGTGTGCCATCAAATTCAAAATTTACTTGCATGGTGCATTTTAATAACAATTCTTTTAGGATTTCTGTTGGGATGCCAGTACCTATCGACTTATTATACACTTGTTCACATATGTAGTTAACCGGTTCTCTTAGAAGTACATTCGTGAACAAAGATGTTATGTCCAAATATATTATAATTTTATTCTTGATAGTATTATCTTTCATTTTTTTCTAAAAAATTCCAATACATATTCGACGCTGTGCTTCACCATTTCTTCATGTAAAGGTTTGAGAATACTGACTAGCCCCCTTGCTAAAGCATGGTAGGGCGAATTTCGCAAATCAAGTATTGATCTTAACGGTGTGCGCGCTTTATGAATTTTGGGTAGGCCGTCAAATTTTGGTGTGTATGTGCCTGTCGGCCTGAGTTCTTCAAATAAACTTTCGGGAAATAGCTTTTCTTTCCTTGGTTTTTTCAAAAATCTGGTTAATTCACTCTCTATTGTGTTAATGAAATCTTTCTTCTCCTCAAAATTTTAGAACTTCTGTGTGTCTTTCAAAATATCATCACCATTTTCTTCAATAATTTAGATTGACAGGATAACTATACGAAAAAAATGGACGTGTTTTATGGTGCACAGCAGCTCACTAAAATTAACTGTTGATTTACTTCCATTCTAAGAAAAAACTAAAAATGAACAGCACTGTTCCGCGTTTTTACGATGCACATAATTCTACAGAAACTGTGTAGTACAGACACTTTTCTTCATCAGTGCAGCTTGTAATGGACAAACTTTCTGGAAAATCTCTCCTAAACGATCTATTAATAATGTTTATGCTTATTGAGTTACTTTAACTAACTCTGTAATTAGTATACCTATTTTCCCTAGACTGTATATCATTAATGTGAAATTTGCATATCCCATGTTGATTTTTATTAGTTGCTTTCGTCTTTGTTTAATCTTTCATTGTGATACTTCTCTTTGTGGTTGTGTGTACATTGATAATGCGTTGTTTAAAGATAAGAGTTTGTTTTGAAGGTCATTCTGACCAGGGAAGCCTTGGTGTGTAATTCTTGTGTACAGAGCTCTTGATCTTACCTCGTTGACTCTAAGGTACGTTTTACAATTGAACTTTGGTGAATTAATTTTGTCTTACAGTACTTGTTTTGTATTTAGAAACATACATCGACTGTATAGCTAGCTGACTCACAACACTGTTGGGGTCGTTTTCAGTGCGATGTTATTATTGTTTAATAGAACCGCTAGAATATTGGAGAGTAATCATCTTTTCCCTACCTTTGGAACGTTTTGTGATAGCGCTTACCTCAACGAAGTTTTGTCAGCTATACAGTAGAACGTGGGGATCAGTCTCGTGCGTTTAGACAATAATCGGATAAATTTGGTCGCTACATTCCTACTGCATGTTATACTTCACTAAATTCTCTAAAGTAATTTATTTAGCAAGTAAAAATAACTAATTTTCTAATATTCCTCCTGTAAGCAAATTCTCCATCTTAATTTTGATTATGGCCATTAGGTAAAATTAGTTGAAGACTTTTGAAATTATTTATGGACAGTTTCATCAATATATGTATATATATATATGCATTTTTGGGAAAATACAAGATTTATCATTTTACAGTGCTTTGAATTAATTTATTTCATGTAAAGCAATAAATAAACAAATGTTTGTGTAAGCGAAATTAGAATGACGGGGGAATCAAGATGATGGTAAACAACTGTTATTCTGTTAATAAATGTTGTAATTCAGTATTCTTCTAACAAACATCTGACCGTCTGTAATGTAAAGCATCTGAAACACAGACTAACGCTAGTGGGAGTCAAAAAGTAATTTAGAAGACTGTAAACCGACACTTAACCTTTCCTTAAACTAAATAGTAATAGTTAGTTAAATGAAAGATTAATTGACATTCCAAAGGTTGTAATAATTCACTGTAATAGCTTTTAGACAGTTTTAATAATACACCAAGTAATATTAGAGTAACAGAGGGAAAACAACTGAAAAAAGCAGACTTACTTGATACTTAGAATATGGCACGCTTAACCCCAGAAACGATAATAATATTGATGGTATGGCTACTTAAATTTCGATAAATAATAATTGACTTAGAACACCTGAAGACTTGCAGGCGAAAATAAACAAATTGGCTGAAGAGGCGAGCAGGGAAGACAGGAATCCAGGTGAACATAGAGAAGATGGAAGTGATGAAGATAACCAACCATCACCAACAGCAACAACCAGCACTAATCAACATCAACGGGAGAGATTTAACAAACGTTACTTCCTCCACTTATCTAGGAAGCATCGTTTCCATCAGAGTTGGACAGCACGGATGAAGATGTCAGAGGTAGCCTTCATCAATCTGAAATTAGTTTGGAAATCTTCTGCACTCAGCCAGTATAAACACCAAGATTCGGAATCTATTCAACACAAATGTGAAGTCAGTTCTTCCATATGGGTCAGAAACTTGCAGTGCGCGTCAAGGAAAGCATTCCCAATAGTCTACTGAAGACTTTTACCAACAAATGCCACCTTCGCTGGTTCCATACTGAAGATCGAATAGCCGACTGGCCAGAGAGAATTAGTAAAAAGAAACTCTGGCTGTGAACAAACCAACTAAGAGCCGATTTCTTAAAAAATATATAGGAGAAAATGGATTGGGTGTACACTGAGGAGACAGTCGAATGAAATCACGTGCAATGCAGGCTATTGCTCGAACGGAATCTGAATGGGAAGCGACAAGTCTGAGGAGAACGTGTGGCGAGGAGGAGATGAGAGATTGTGGGCAATCCAGCTGGACCCAGCTGTAGAGGACGACAGGAAATAGAAGAAGGTGGATATGTGTTGTTGAAGCCCTATGTTCCAGTCAGAACCCAAGAGAACAATAATAATAACCTGAAACACTTAGTACTTCAATAGATATTAGTGTTTTCTATCCCACCGCAGAGTGATAGTTCTCAAACTCTAAAGAAAAATAAACTCGCTACTTTGAGTGGACCTGATCTCTAATTGAAATCTACACTATTTTTTCAGATGAGAATAAAAGCTGTTGCGAGGTATTTTCCTGCACAGTATAGTAAACACCAAAACAGATACCTCAGAGCCTTTAAAACAGTCAAACTTAATATTAGATATGATAACACATAATATACAGACCAACTACCTGAAGAAATTCTATCCATAATGGACTGTCACCATTCTATCTATTCCAGTATATTGAGAAGAAAGAGTGACAAGTTTATTTTGCAATAACTTATATCCACATTCCAAGTCTTTTTTTCATACTAAAAAATACTTCATAAGACTGCCAACGGACCGCAAAGTGGATTAACTTACCTTACATAATGTCACTTTAATCAGAACTCTATTAATAAATATAACAAATGTTCAACACTTTCGCCAACATGAAAACCCAACGAAAAAATTCATTTCGTTAATTATTTTTATTGTTGTTTCTTTAGATATATATGTATATGTATACATATAAAAACTTGGTGAAATCTCTTCTTTGATTGTTAACTTATCAAATATTCGTTTTTTTTAGAGTATACTGGATGTACATAAGATTGACACATACACCTATATGTAATCTATTTATACATACATTTACCTATGTATATATATAAGTCATAATGCATTCAACAGTATAATGAAAACAAAGAAGTATATTATAACTACAAAATATAAATAATAACGATAATAATAACAATGATAATGAGACAGAGCCAAATACAAATACAATGGTTATATATATTATTTTGTGATCATTAAAATTTGACAGTATAAGTTCAACTCTTTTATATGTATATAAGAAGAATGAACAAACAAAACTCATGGTATCAAAATAACAAAAAGGAAAAAAAGAAGAAAATACAACAAATAAAAAAGTAATAATTGTTGTAATGATAGTAACAACAATTATAATAATAATAGTAATAATACTTGAGGAACAGACCATAACTATTGCATTATGCAAAAGGAAATTTAAAAAGAAAAACGGAAACAGATTAGAGAAAAATCAGAAAACAAAAACAAGGACCTAAACTGTAAAAAAATCATGCTTTCACCTTTCTTTTCTTTTCTTTATTATTTTCTTTTACAACATATACGTGTGTGTTAGTTAGTTAGTATGTGTAGTGTGCGTGTTAGAAAGGAATTCAATTCGTAAAGGTAATTATAGGACATTGTAGAGAGAAAATAAACGCACACATAGTAACTGGAAATGGCGAGGTGTATGCTATTATCATATCATCAAGACGTTTGGGGAGGGGGGGGGCTTAAGAAATTACAAAACAGATTTCTTCATAAACTAAGTGGGGGATTACACGGATACAGGTTTGCCTCTTCTTCATCGAACTCGAATTCAAGATGTTCAATATTTATACAACAAGTTGTATGTATATATATACATACGGTACATGAGAAAATATTGTTAGAAAAGTTTGATAAGTGTTGTTATTACAAAAAACAAAATAAAACAACAACTGATAGTCTCTACTTGAAATACAATACCAGTAAAGATATGAAAATGATTCATCTGTGGGTATACATGAAAGAAAAAGAAAAGAGGACCATAGTAATTGTAATGATAATGGTAATAATAACAATATTAGTTAAATTTCAAAATATAATCATTTTCTAATAGAAAATTTCCAACTTATGATAAGATTGAAAAAAGAAAAACACAGGCTGAGTTCATTTTATCCATCCATCTGCATATATTTCTTCATTCTCTCCAGACAAAAACACTAATAAATATTCTACTAATAACATTAAAGTTATGTAAGATAATTCATAAAATTAAGGGAAGGAGAAAATTGCAGAAATTATTGCCTTCTGTGTAAATGTGAATATTATGCTGGAAAAAAAAAAGAAATACAAAGATTATAAATTACTTAAATATCACATTTCAATTTTTTTTTATTAGTTAGACCGATTAAATTAAAGTATTAAAACAAACGGAAAATTAAATGAGTAGTGGTCATTAATAGTGTTATCATTATTTTTATGAGGTAGGGTTGCTAGCCTCCCTTTACCGCAGTCTTAATACCGGCTTAGCGAGGTTAAAGAATGCGTCAGCCGGAGATCGAACCCTGGACCACGTGAGTGGTTGACAAGCGTTCTACTGCTGAACCACCAAGGTAATGTGTGTGCGTGTGTATGACAATATTTATATGTCGATAAATGGTATACACACAAGGTAGTGAAGTGTTTATTTTCGGAGGGTCAACTACCCTGAAGGAAACCAAACTATTAACTTTTTCTGTTATTCTCTCATAGCTACATTTATTTTATTATTCCTCTAAATTTTTATCATAGCTTGATTCCACACAGTATTTTGGTACAAGTAGGGAATTATCAGTATGCGATAACCGTAGCCCAAATTTAGCAGGCCGACCATTGATATCAGATGTGCATCGGATGGGAATCGGACCCCAAACCACATGCATGGTTGGCGAGCATTCTACAGCTGTGCCACCGACGCAACATGTGTGTATGTGTGACAATATTTATATGTCGATAAGTGATATACACACAGTTTACGACAAAATAATTGATTTTAACTTTGTGATAATTAAGATTCTTTGATGAAATACTTTCAGAATCCTTAATTGAGGCTCACTTTCAACAGTACATAAGGCTATGTGGAAAGGCGATAAAATATCCCAACTTACAAATAGATTTATATAACCGAAATAACAACTCGGTTCATCAAAATGGGATAGCATCATGACTAAGTCTTCAAATTCTGCAACATTGGATATGTTTTGACTACACATTGAACAGTTGGCTTGTGAGACCCATCAAAAACCCTATCATATGTGTAATTTTTCAACTAAATAAAATAATAAAGTATTGGTTTGTAGGGATTTGGTTGATTGGTTACAGGATTTCATCATGAGCTGACATTAGTTAGAGAACCATTGGAAAACCTCGGAGTACTGGACAGCTGTTTCCTCCGTCCTAGTTTGAGACTCTTCATCAGTACGCACCCACCGGAATTCGGACCCAGGACCTTCTGGTTACAAGGCGAGCTCGTATACCATTAAGCCACTGGGACCCAATCCAATGGCCCATGAATTCTAACTTCTGCCAATTCACGACATAGCGCAACCGCTAGCCAGTGTCTTCGGCGAGTATTTGTCCTCACACCCGACCTGCTGCAACCTACTGGTCACGACTTCTCACTAGAACCCCAGGTAACTACCTACCTGAATGAGGGAAGTCACTAGTGAGCATCTCATTGATATTCAAGTATTGGTCTGTAGGGATTTGGTTGACTGGTTACAGGTGGGTGCGTACTGATGAAGAGTCCCAAACTAGGACGAAACAGCTGTCCAGTACTCCCAGGTTTGCCAATGGTTCTCTAACTAATGTCAGCTCATGATGAAATCCTGTAACCAATGAATAAAATATTCTCGAATCGACGCCTTCTCTAGGGAGTCTAAATCAGACTAAGTACAGGTGGTGATAACTCCGTTACTAAGCAGAGTAATAAAAATTTATTAAGTGGTTAAAAAAAAGTATTTAGGACATTATATGTAAAAAGATTAGCCTATTCATATTTATTGGCGAAAAATGTTTTTCTCGGTATAAGATAAAGAATGGTAATTTCAAAGAATCGACTGACGGCGTATTTGGATGTAAATGTCAGCAGAATAAAATTAAAATGGATGTTAGTCAATAACATAGTTTTCATTCCACTAGTTTTCTTATTCACTGAGACTCAACTTCTTACTATGCAGCTTTATAATCTAACTAAAAATCATCCTTTTACTGAATCTCCATAGGTGGATAATAATGGGATAGTACTGATTGTTTTCTCTACATATATAGGAAAGAAATTCTGTCTGCACGGAATCTAAAAGGTTTATCTAACCTACTGAAAATTTGAAGCTGTTATCAAAAACAATTTCCGATGTGATTGAACTCAATAACAAGATCAGGCAAGATTTATATTATTATTTGTCTGTAGTATTATATTTATTTACCCTTGGCGGCCTGTTTGAAAGTTGGGCTACCCTGTTCTTTCACCTACATATTACATCTACTTTATCGTATTTCATTTTTATTTACCAAAAGATGACGTCAAATCGTATCACAAGAGACTCTCAAGGTTCTAAGAAAGCTAAGAAAAAACATCATGGTGGATATAAGCATGCACTAAAACGGACACCTTCATATCAAGACCTTATGCCCTCTGTCAGTTCAAGCCCTAATAAGCTTTAGAATTAGTACTTTTTGTAATTTTGGCTGTTATAAACTGACAGTATCTGAAAGCTCAAACCAGATCTTCATATTCATCATAAATAGATAGCTGCTAAAAATCGATGAAAACTCGCTATAAGTTGCTAAAGTGACATTGGTAGGATAACCGATAATAAAACCAAATTTGTATACTTACTTTGTATCTAAAAGTAATATACCTATATGATCATATGTGGGACGAGTTGTTAATAAATATATATTTATCAATAAACACTAATTAGCTGTCATGTAAGTGTTGTTAACAATTCATTTATCAAACGAATAAGGTCAGTATAAACTATTCAACCTTATCATATTGTATATCACTTTTATTATTATTTTGGACTAATTTTTAACGGTCATAAATTTTATGAATGATAAAATTTCTGAATGAAATTGTTTCACTTTCACACTTTTCTGTCCGCATTCCTAAAAGTGACTCTCAGACAGAGCTAAATACACCAGTTTACTGTACAGCAGTAAAACTGTTATCATTATTGTTAGCTTGTTACAGTGACAGACACCCTGATGCATTTCGCTTATAATAATAAAATATTTGCACATTATCTAACTACTTATAAGTAGGTAAGATATAATGATAAAAGTACACGTAAAAGAATGTATATCATAAAATGATTTGATTTTAATATTATTTAACTCTAATAAGAACAATTAGTTACTAAGACTATGGTGAGCATTATGACGCTAAAGTGACTATATGATTGATAAAAGGAAAAAATGTATATTTTTTATCAATCAGAAGCACAACCTCATCAGTAAGCTCTCATTTTATTGCCGATATATGGATGATACCTTCATTCTTTGTGATAATGGTTCTTATAGGAGTACATTAATTACTGAATTCAATGAAGTACATTCGGCTATGAAATTCACATGCGAAGAAAAATCCCAAGACAGAATTGCCTGCCTGGATGTCCTCCTTACAAGTAAACCAGATGCTAGCATAAAAAGAAATTTGCATAGAAAAAGTACTTGGACAGGACAATATAAACATTTTCACAGCTTCGTTCCTATCAATTACAAAAGAAATTTAGTGAAGACCCTCAGCCACAGAGTAAGAGCCATATGCTCAGAAGAAGTAATTGAAGATGAATTAAGCATTGTATATGATACTTTGATCGAAAATAGCTATCCCGACAAATTTATCAAGAAACACATGACAAAGAAAGCGAAAAAGGACTACTCACTATCTGTAAACAAGAAGCCTTTATACATACGACTGAAATTCAAGGGTGATATACCAAGTGAGATAATTACGAGGACATTAAGAAAACCAGTTCAAACAACTTCTAATGCTGGCGAACTACACGTATTATTCTCCAAACGACCGATGGTGATTCCTCGTTTGAAAGATGAAGTACCTAGACTAGCTAGCCACTTCTAATCGCATCTACCAATTCAGCTGCGCTTGTGGAGCCAGTTATATTGGCCGTTGCTCTAGGAACTTGATTTCTCGTGCTCGAGAACATCTCCCACTATGGCTAAGTAAAAGTGTAGTGAAAACCACTAACAGTTCGATATTGGACCATCTTGTGCAAACCGGCCACAAAGCCAGCACTCAGGAATCCTTCTCTATCATCTACCGGGTGCCTAATAAATTGTCAAAATCGTCGAAGCACCGCATGCTCCAAACAGAAGAGGCTATTGTAATTCGCCTCAAACAATCAGTGCTAGGTGTGCAGAAGAAGCAAGTCCAACCACTACTACTGCCGTGGCCTTCAGTAGGGACTATAAATTCATGAATTTGTAATATTATCTTTCCTATTTTCTCTGACATTCAGCTTATTTTATGTTGATGATATTGAGCTGTAATCTATCAATATTATTGATTCGATGTTATTTAAACAACATTAATGTTGTTCATAACACTAATTCATTCATTCACTATAATGTATGTATAACTGTAGAGCCTGGTGATGAAGTTATCGAAAAGAGTATTCTTTGTTCAGTATCCATTCTTTTGAAAAATTTATTATCCAGTAAAGCATTTACGATGAAGTCATCATTAGGTCGTACTGTCACTTCCCTATTCAAAGAAAAATCATTCAGTCAACGTATACTTAAAAAACTAAAATGAAAGTTTGTTAAAGAGAAGAAATGAGATGTTAAGCAGGCAAAAAGAGGTCAAATCTCATTGATAGGCGTTAGTCCAAAGTGAAATCCAGAATGCACGTATTGTCACACTTGAATCTCATCATCTGAACATGCCTGAGTCCAAAAAGATGATAGTAATCCCACTGAGGCCTAGATACATCGTTTCAAATGCCAACACACTAACCACTAGACTTCTGAGACTTTGAAGCCACCTTTAGTGAGATGAAGGTCAATTGTTATTTATTCAGATCCAAGCCTCAATGAGAACGCAGTCAGTTGCTACGATACGGATGCCTGCGGTCAGCCAGTCTCAAGCAGGATGAAACGCACGTCTCGGATTCCACTGATAGACATCATCAACCAGACAAGTTAATCTTAAGGCATCATCAAAGCGTGCACACTATAAAACGGCCATTTCGTTCCATTAAACAAAAACAGTGGGTAATTCAAAACACAATAAGTGTCAGAAAACAGGAGTGATAGAACATCCAGAGGATATTATTATAAATGATGGAAAAAGAACTTTATTTGAAACTTTACAACAACCTTTGACGTCCCTAGATTATTGTCTTACTTAGTGAGATTGATTCTTAGCTCAAGTAAAACTGCCTGTATAGTATTTACCTCTACCTTTTTTATATTACCATAAATATATAATGAGTATACCAAAAGTCTATTTATGTTACATTTCAGTACAGAGAAGCTGATATACCTAAAACTGATAATAAGAGAGATTCTGTCAGGTAAGTAGGTCTCTTTGAAGATTTGTTAACGGAATCTTGAAATGTTAACCCTATAATATCTGAACACACTCCATGAGATTGAATTCATGATAAAATAAGTCTATAAAGTAATTTTATTGAATAAATGTGAATGAAAATTTTCTATTGTTTGGTTTGTAAGGATTAGTTATGTTTTACGAGTTGATCACGGACTGATATCAGTTAGAGAACCACTGGAAACCAGGGAGTACTGGACAGCTGCTGTTTCATCAGCCTAGTTTGGGAATCATCGGCAGCACGCACCCACTGGGATTCGAACCCAGGACCTTCCGGTTACAAGGCAAGCTCGTATACCATTCAGCCACTGGGACCCGATTCAATGGCCAGTGAATGAATTCTAACTTCTACCAATTCGTGATTTTAGCTCACTAGTGACTTGCTACAGGCTGAAGCTTCCTCGAGTTCTAGTGAGAAGTCGTGACCAGTGAGGTCCAATTAGATATCACGTGTGTGGATGGATGTCCCACCAACGACAATAGTTGGGGTTGCGCTAAAATCACGAATTGGTAGAAGTTAGAATTCATTCACTGGCCATTGAATCGGGTCCCAGTGGCTGAATGGTATACGAGCTTGCCTTGTAACCGGAAGGTCCTGGGTTCGAATCCCAGTGGGTGCGTGCTGCCGATGATTCCCAAACTAGGCTGATGAAACAGCAGCTGTCCAGTACTCCCTGGTTTCCAGTGGTTCTCTAACTGATATCAGTCCGTGATCAACTCGTGAATGAAAATGATATTTTTATCCATTTATGTGAATTCCACTGCGAAAATAGAGTTCTTCACTCATCATAGTATAAGACTCAACCACTTGATTTCACCGTCATTTTTCCTCCTCAAGGTATTTTTTACTTAATTGAGTAGCTGAATTAATTCCAACCAAATACGATAGTTGTATCATTTTTCTTTACTTCTTTCGATCTCATCGCGTGATCCTATGTACTCAGATTGGCCGTCCACCGTCATTTCAGTCGGCGCTGATTTTCATTCTCAATTTTATTAGTATGTAGCCGCAAATAATTCCCCAAAATGAATAGCCTACAGCATTGTTTACCCACTATAGGATGCTGATCTTCACTGTTTAATCCGACTCGTTAAGCTGAAGTTTCATAGTCAAGCGCGTTGTCGTGTTAGGTTCGCTCTTTCATGCACGATCCCTAGCTAGCTAGGCAATCAATGTTGCAATACGACTCTGATCCCGAAATATATCTTGTGTTTTGGACAATCAATTAGGTATTTTGAGTTGTCTTTGCTCTAAGCAGAACAAGTACTATAAGAGTAGAGGGATAAGAACTTGCGTGAACATCACCATCTCTTCATCTCTTAAAAGCAAGTACTTCTTTTGGTTAATTCATTTCTCAGTGTTCACTAATCAGTTAGACGTATTCAACAAGGCTAGGTAAACTAGAGATTACTTCACAGACCTTCAGTGATGATAAATTCTGAAACATCTTCATAAAAAGATGAATTATCCCTAACTGCTCAAATTTACTCGAATTTCAGTAAGTGTTAACACGAAAATAACTGATTAAAGATGCCCATTAGAAATTTCAAAAGACTAATTACTGAACAAAAAATATTCTTTTCCATAACTTCCTCACCCTCAGGCTATACAGTTATATATTCATAATAATTAACGAATTATTGTTACTATCAACCGTTGAGACCGATTTCACATACGCAAAATTCGTCGCACCATGCTTCAGCTGGATGGTCAGATATTATTCTTAAATCTTTACATAAACAGCTAGTGAAATATAGCGCGAAAAATGCGTTTGAATTCGTAGACAGAATTAAAGACATTAACATCAAAGATAATACGATGATATCTTTGGACGTAGCATCTCTATTCACAAATGTATCTCTAATTAAAACAGTTAGATGTATATTTGCGAATGAATGAATAACAAATTAATAAATATTCACATCCCAATAAAAATCCTTAAAGAATTGTTGTTAAAGTATACCATGAATATAAATTTTAAATTTTACGGAGATCTCTACAGACAAAGGAGAGGGGTGGCAGTGGTTCCCCAGTGGATCCCATGTTAGCGGACTGCTTCTTAAGTAGATTTCCAAATGGCCTTTTAAAAGTTATTATCAGAAAATCCACATTTAATTGTCGATAAATGGATAATACGTTTATCCTTCACGAAAGAGATTTAGACTGGGAATCATGTTTCGACCCAATGAGGTCCATTCAGTTATCAAATTCATATGTGAAGTAGAATCCTAAAGCAGAATTGCCTTCTTATATGTCCCTTTCACAAGAAA